TCCAAAAGGATATCCCCTCTAATCGAGGGGGGGGTCTGGGTGGAGGACTAGGCCTCTGACCTCTGACCCCTCCTCCTCCCCCCGCCCCTCTCCCCAAGTGAGGTCAGGAGAGTCTTTGGCAGGGCCAGGGGGGGACCCATCCTCCACCGCCTGGCTGTGGAGGATGGGCCCTGCTGGACGGTCTCGGGGGGGGAAGGGAGTGGCTGTGGATGATGGGGCCGGCTGGACGGTCTCGGGGGGGAAGAGAGTGGCTGTGGATGATGGGGCCTGCTTTGCCAATAATGTCCTATTGTCTTTGCCCTTCTGCCTTTTGGGGGTTTGGGAGAAGGGGAGTGGTGGCTGTGGATGATGGGCCCTGGTGGACGGTCTGGGGGAAGGGAGTGGCTGTGGATGATGGGGCCTACATGGGGTCACTCTCTTCCCCTCCTTCCTCCCCAAGTAATAGTGTCCTACCGTCTTTGCCCTTCTGCCTTTTGGGCTTTGGGAGAAGGGGTGGCTGTGGATGATGGGGCCGGCTGGACGGTCTGGGGGAAGGGAGTGGCTGTGGATGATGGGGCCTACTTGGGGTCATTCTCCCCCTCCCCTCCAAGTAATAATGTCCTACCGTCTTTGCCCTTCTGCCTTTTGGGGTTTGGGAGAAGGGGGGGTGGCTGTGGATGATGGGGCCGGCTGGACGGTTGGGGGGGAAGAGAGTGGCTGTGGAGGATGGGCCCTGCTTTACCAATAACGGCCTATTGTCTTTCCCCTTCTGCCTTTTGGGGTTTGGGAGGGGGTGGCTGTGGATGATGGGGCAGGCTGGACGGTCGGGGGGGGGGAAAGAGAGTGGCTGTGGATGATGGGGCCTACATGGGGTCATTCTCTTCCCCTCCTTCCTCCCCAAGTAATAATGTCCTACCGTCTTTGCCCTTCTGCCTTTTGGGGTTTGGGAGAGGGGGGGTGGCTGTGGATGATGGGGCCTGCTTTACCAATAACGTCCTATTGTCTTTCCCCTTCTGCCTTTTGGAGTCTGGGAGAGAGGGTGGCTGGCTGTGGGTGATGGGGCCTGCTGGACAGTCTTCGGGAATGGAGTGGCTGTGGATGATGGGTCCACCTGAACAGCCTGGGGGATGATTCCCCACCCCTCCTTTTTTGAACCCTACATGGGGTCATCCTTCCCCCCCCCCCAATCAATAGTGTCCTATTGCTTTTGCCCTTTGGCATCTGGGAGGGGGTGTGGCTGTGGATCATGGGGCCGGTTGGACGGTCTGGGGGAATGGAGTGGCTGTGGATGATGGGGCCCATCTGGACCTGGGATTGATTCCCCACCCCTCCTTTTTTGAACCCTACATGGGGTCATTCTTCCCCCCCCCCACCCCAAAAGCAATAGTGTCCTATTTTCTTTACCCTTCTGCCCTTTGGGATCTGGGAGAGGGGGGTGGGTGGTTGTGGATGATGGGCCCAGCTGGACGGTCTCGGGGAATGGAGTGGCTGTGGATTATGGGGTCTACTGGACCTGGGGGATGGTTCCACCCCTCCTTTTTTAACCTTATATGTGATGATTCTTCCCCTTCCCCCCCCCCCCCAAGTAATAATGTCCTACTGTCTTTGCCTTTTGGGGTTTGGGAGAGGGGTGGCTGTGGATGATGGGGCCGGCTGGATGGTCCTGGAGAGGGGTGGCTGTGGATGATGGGGCCGGCTGGATGGTCCTGGAGAGGTGGCTGTGGATGATGGGGCCGGCTGGATGGTCTGAGGATTTTGAGGTGGCTGTGGATGATGGGGCCAGCTGGACGGTCCGGAAGAGTGAGGTGGCTGTGGATGATGGGGCCAGCTGGACAGTCTGGAAGAGTAGCTGTGGATGATGGGGCCAGCTGGATATTCTGGGGGAGAGAGGTGGCTGTGGATTATGGGGCCAGCTGGACGGTCTGGGAGAGTGAGGTGGCTGTGGATTATGGGGCCAGCTGGACAGTCTGGAAGAGTAGCTGTGGATGATGGGGCCAGCTGGATATTCTGGGAGAGTGAGGTGGCTGTGGATTATGGGGCCAGCTGGACGGTCTGGGAGAGTGAGGTGGCTGTGGATGACGGGACCAGCTGGACGGTCTGGGAGAGTGGGGTGGCTGTGGATGATGGGGCCAGCTGGACAGTCTGGAAGAGAGGTGGCTGTGGATGATGGGCCCATCTGGACGTGGGGGATGGTTTTCCCCTCTCCCTTTTGAACCCTACATGGGGTCATTCTCCCCCCCCCCAAAGCAATAGTGTCCCATTGCCTTCACCCTTCTGCCCTTTGGCCTCTGGTGTGTGTGTGTGTGTGTGTGTGTGTGTGTGTGTGTATTATAGGGCCAGCTGGTCGGTCTGGGGGAATGGAGTGGCTGTGGATTATGGGGCCTGTTGGACCTGGGCGATGATTCCCCACCCCTCCCTTTTCAACCCTACATGGGGTCATCCTTTCCCCCCCCCCCAAGCAATGGGGTCACGGAAGGCAAAAGCAGCCTGAATCGGACCCCTGACCGATGCGGCGGCTGTGGAATATGGGTCCGATTGGACCTGGGCATGGGATGGTCCTGCTTTCCCCACCCCCACCCCAACAATTTGGGGGCGGGGAGTCGCCTATTTCACCATCCCATCGCCCAGATGCCTTTCGCGCCAGAAGTTGGGGTGCCTCGGTGGTCGCCAAAGAGCTAGACTGTTGCGCCGTGGGGCCCACCCTTGAAGACGCCGCTGCGATTCTGGATACTGTCGGGATCCTGAGCTTTGCGCGCCCTCCCCCACCCCCGAATACGGGTAGTCCTCGACTTTACGACCAGAAGAGAGCCCCAGATTCCCGGGGCTCGGCGAATGTGACGACTTTTCCGCCCGTCGTCGTTAAGTGAGTCTCGGCAGCAACCTGGCCGTTAAGTGAATCCGGCTTCCCTCGTTCCGTTGGTTCGTCGCAAAGTCGCAAAAACAGGGAGGGGAATCACGTGACCCCGGGGTCACCGAAACGGTCGTAAATACGAAGCAGTGGCCGTGCGTCCGCGTTTTGATCACGTGAAAAACAGTCGTAAGTTACATTTGTCAATTACTGACTTTGGTCGCTAAATTGAACTCTTGTAAGTCGAGGACTGCCCGTATCCGTAGGAGGAGCGCTGGTTGCTTCCCGGGACAGTTCAAGGTGCCGGTTCTCACCGTTCGAGACCTGCAGGGCCGAATGCCTGGGTGCCTTTGAGATGACTTTGAATCTTAGGGGCTGGAAGGGACCTTGGAGGTCATCTAGTCCANGACCCTGGAGGTCATCTAGTCCAACCCCCTGCTCAAGCAGGAGACCCTAACAGAATCATAGACTAACAGAGTTGGAAGAGACCACAAAGGTCATCTAGTCCAACCCCCTGCTCAAGCAGGAGACCCTGACAGAGCGACAGAGATGGGAAGGGACCTTTGGAGGTCATCTAGTCCAACCCCCCTGAACCAGGATTAAGACCAACGAAAGACGACCAACCGTTGTGCCCTCACGGCGAGGTGGGCGATGTGTGGTGGTGACTCCAGGCGGAAAAGTAACAACCACAACAACTGAGGGCCCTCTCTTTGTTTCACAGTATGTCCAGGCCGACGCACCGACGAATAAAACCCTGGCTGGGCTGGTGGCTCAATTGCTGCAGTTCCAGGAAGATGCCTTCGGAAAACACGTGGCCAATCCTGCCTTCACCAAGTTTCCGGTCAGTATTGAGGATCTCTTTTGGGGGGGGGCGCTCTTTGTGGGTGGAAGATGAAAGGCCAAAGGTTTTCCTTTGTATTTGAGCCGATTTCCGAGGTTTTGATGCTTCAGCATCAATTTGGAGGTTCGTGCCGAAGGCGGGACTAGAACTCACCCTCTCCTGGTGATTGGCCCAAAGTCCCCCAGCTGGCTTTCATGCCTAAGGCGGGACTAGAACTCCCAGTCTCCTGGTGATTGGCCCAAAGTCCCCCAGCTGGCTTTCATGCCTAAGGCGGGACTAGAACTCCCAGTCTCCTGGTGATTGGCCCAAAGTCCCCCAGCTGGCTTTCGTGCCTGAGGCGGGACTAGAATTCCCTGTCACCTGATGATTGGCCCAAAGTCACCCACTGGCTTTCATGCCTAAGGCGGGACTAGAACTCACCGTCTCCTGGTGATTGGCCCAAAGTCCCCCAGCTGGCTTTCATGCCTAAGGCGGGACTAGAACTCCCAGTCTCCTGGTGATTGGGCCAAAGTCACCCAGCTGGCTTTCATGCCTAAGGCGGGACTAGAACTCACCGTCTCCTGGTGATTGGGCCAAAGTCACCCAACCGGCTTTCGTGCCTGAGGCGGGACTAGAACTCCCTGTCACCTGGTGATAGGCTTAACGTCACCTGGCTGGCTTTCATGCCTAAGGCGGGACTAGAACTCCCTGTCACCTGGTGATTGGCCCCAAGTCTCCCAGCTTTCTTTCATGCCTAAGGCGGGACTAGAACTCACCGTCTCCTGGTGATTGGCCCAAAGTCACCCAGCAGGCTTTCATGTCCAAAGAGAAAGGGAAGGGAAGGAGGATGGAGAGAAGAGAGAGACAGAAAGAGAAAGAAAGAAAGAAAGAAAGAAAGAAAGAAAGAAAAAAGAAAGAAAGAAAGAAAGAAAGAAAGAAAGAAGAAAGAAAGAAAAGAGCGGGAGGAGATGAGAGGAGAGAGAAAAGGAAGGAAGGAAATAGATAGGGAAGGAAGGACAGGAAGAGAAAGAAAACAGGAAAGGAAGGGAAGAAAGGAAAGAAAGAAGGAGAGAAAGAAAAATAAACAAGAAGAAAGAAAGACGGGGAGAGGAGAGAAAGAAAGGAAGGAAAGAGATACGGAAGGAAGGACAGCAAGAGAAAGAACGAAAGGAAGTGAGGAAAGAGAGAAAGAAATAAGAAAACACAAAAGAAAAAGAAAGAAATAAAGCGGGTGGAGAGGAGAGAAAAAAGGAAGTTAATAAATAGGGAAGGAAGGAAAGGAAGAGGAAAGGAAGAGGAAAGGAAGAGAAGGAGAGAGAAAGAAATAAAGAAAAAGTATAAGGAAACAGGAAAGAAAAAAAGAAAGAAAAAAAGGGGAAGGGAGAGAGAAAGAGAAAAGGAAGGAAGGAAATAGAGAGGGAAGGAAGGAAAGAGAAAACAAAGAGGAAAGAAAGGAAGGAAACAGGAAAGATAGAGAAGGAGAGAGAGAAAACAGAGGAAAGAAAAAAAAGAAAGTATAAGGAAACAGGAAAGAAAGAAGGAAACAAAAAGAAAGAAAGAAAGAAAGAAAGAAGCAAGGCAGGGAGAATACGGGAGGAGAGCCAAGAAAGAAAGAAAGAAAGAAAGAAAGAAAGAAAGAAAGAAAGAAAGAAAGAGCAGGGACGGGAAGGAAGGAACGCAAAAGAAAGACGAATGGAGGACAGAGCTGTTTGGTTGAAGGACTTGGACACCGCTGCTTGGCAGGCTTCTCCCCCTGCCTCCAACCACTCTTCAGCCCCGCCCTTAAACAAGACATCGGGGCGGTGGGTTGTGCGTTGTGCTTGTGTAGATGACACAGCGAAGGGGTCCCCTGGCGCACCAAACAAGCCAGCAAACTGACTTCCTTAAAAGCTCTTTTGGGCGGAACGTTGCGGCCTCTGCGGATTTGCCCCTCCCTCTTCCCCCCAACCCGTTGTGGTTGCGTTGCGAGACGGCTACGCCTCGTCGTTGCCGCGTTGCGTGTTTTGCAAATGTCACTTGTCTTTCTTTTTTTTTTTTAATTTTATTTTAGGCCAAGTGCTTCCTGGACTTCAAAGCCGGAGGAACTTTGTGTTACATCCTCGGGGCGGCTTACAAGTACAAGAACGAACAAGGATGGTGAGTGGTTCTTTCCTTACCGGAAGTCCTCGACTTAACGACGGTCCTTTTAGTGACCGTTCACAGTTCCAGCAGCCCTGAAAAAAACAAGCAGTTAGGATCAAAACTCGGATGCTTGACAACTGACTCGTATTTATGACGGTCCCAGGGTCTCGTGGTTAACGTTTTGTGACTTTTCCCAACCGGCTTTTGACGAGCCAAATCAATGGCGCGAGGCAGATTCGCTTAACGACCCATGTGAGTCACTTAACGACAGCGATTGCTTAACAAAACCGGAGTCAAAAAAAAAAGGTTCTAAAATCAGGCAAGTCTCGCTTAATCAACCGCCTTGCTTAGCGACGGAAATTCTGCTCCCAACTTTGGTCATAAGTTGAGGACTACCTAGAAGATGACAATAAATTATTGTCATCCTGAATGATAATCGAGGTAATCCTTAAATTACAACAGTTTGGTGACCGTTCAATGTTACAGCAGCATTGAAAAAAGTAAGGACCATTTTAAAAATGTGATTCACGACCGTTTTAAAAATGTGACGACCATTTTAAAAAGGTGACATGACCATTTTTAAAATGGGACATAACCGTTTTTAAAATGAATTACGACCATTTTAAAAATGTGACTTGACCATTTTCAAACTGACTTAATGACCATTTTTAAAATGTCACGACTGTTTTAAAAAGGTGACATGACCGTTTTTAAAGTGACGACTGTTTTAATAATGTGACCATTTTTAAAATATGACGGTTTTTTAAATGTGACATGACCATTTAAAAAATGTGACGACCGTTTTAAAAATGTAATTTAATGGTCGTTTTTAAAATGTGACTTAAGAACATTTTTAAAATGTGACTGAGGACCGTTTTAAAAATGTGATTTACAACCGTTTTAAAAATGTGACTGAGCACCGTTTTAAAAATTTCACTTAATGACCATTTTAAAAATTGACTCATGACTGTTTTTAAAATCTGACATTCGACCATTTTTAAAATATCTTATGACCGTTTTTAAAATGGGACATATGAGCATTTTTAAAATATGACCATTTTTAAAATGTGACTTGTGACTGTTGTAAAAATGTGACTTAGGACCATTTTAAAAATGTGACTCAGGACCGTTTTCCCCACTTACGACCGTTGCAGCCTCCCCATGGTCACGAGATCAAAATTCAGACGCTTGGCGACTGATTCATACTTACGACGGTTGCAGTGTCCCGGGGTTACGTGATCCCCTTTTGCGGCCTTGTGACAAGACAGGCCAGATTCCGTTAACAACCGGCTTCCTAATTTAACCACCGCAGCGGTTCACCAGTGTGGCTAGAACAGTCAAATGGGGCAAAGCTCCCCGAACCGTCTCGCTTAACGACAGAAATTTGGGGCTCCGTTAATGGTCGTAAGTCGAGGACCGCCTACCCTTTCATCGATTTTTCATCCTGAATCGTAAGAAATACCCCAATGTCCTCTCTTTCTCCCGCGTTTGTCTTCGCAGGCGGAGATTCGACTTGCAAAACCCGTCGCGGATGGACCGCAACGTCGAAATGTTCATGAACATTGAGAAAACATTAGTGCAGGCAAGGCGAATAATTTTATTTGGGGATTACGGGACGCGGACATGGCTTTCCGGGGTCCTCTTCAAAGACCCGAGCGAGGGAAAAAGTCGGAAGAAGTCCCCATGTCCGTTTATTTAGAGTAGAATAGAGCCGGGAGGGACCTTGGAGGTCTTCTAGTCCAGCCCCCTGCTCAAACAGGACACCCTTACAGAATCATAGAAAAACAGAGTTGGAAGGGACTTCGGAGGTCATCTAGTCCAACCCCCTGCTCAAGCAGGAGACCCTTACAGAATCATAGAAAAACAGAATAGGAATGGACCTCAGAGGTCATCTAGTCCACCCCCCTTGCTCAAACAGGAGACCCTTACAGAATCATGGCATAACAGAGTTGGAAGGGACCTCGGAGATCATCTAGTCCAGCTCCCTGCTCAAACAGGACACCCTTACAGAAGCATAGGAAAAACAGAGTTGGAAGGGACCTCGGAGGTCATCTAGTCCAACCCCCTGCTCAAACAGGAGACCCTTACAGAATCATTCCGAGTTGAAAAGGACCTCGGAGGTCATCTAGTCCACCCCCCTTGCTCAAACAGGAGACCCTTACAGAATCATGGCATAATAGAGTTGGAAGGGACCTCGGAGGTCATCTAGTCCAGCCCCTTGCTCAAACAGGAGACCCTTACAGAATCATACAATAACAGAGTTGGAAGGGACCTGGGAGGTCATCTAGTCCAACCCCCTGCTCAAACAGGAGACCCTTACAGAATCATACAGTAACAGAGTTGGACCTTGGGGGTCATCTAGTCCAACCCCCTGCTCAAGCAGGAGACCCTTACAGAATCATTCCGAGTTGGAAAGGACCTCGGAGGTCATTTAGTCCAACCCCCTTTTTTTAATTCCTCCATTATTCTTTTTTTTTGTGTTTGTGTGTCCCCTTTTAGAATAACTGTCTGAGCAGACCCAGCATCTACCTCATTCCGGACATCGAACTGAAACTGGCGAACAAGCTGAAAGAGATTGTCAAACGCCACCAGGTAACCGGGATGGGGAGAATGCCGGCTTACCGCTGTAGCAATCGCGACGGGTTTTTAATTTCGTTTCTCTGTCTCTCGGGGGGGAGGGAAGAAATTTTGAAATACAAGGCCAGGACGTCAGAGCAGGCGCCAGTCGCATGGCGCCGAGGGAAACCAGGAGTAGATACAGCAAACCGTGGTTTGTCAATGAAATGGTGGTGTATATTCCCCTATCTACAATAACACTAGAAAGAAAATAACATAAAATAACACACAGCAATTGCGGCAGTCAAAAGGAAAGAGAGAGAGAGAGAGAGAGAGACTCCAGCAAAAAACCTTCCCTTTTGTACTCCGAGTCTTAAAGGGATACACACACCTGCGGAGTCGTTCTTCCTCCCTTCCCGCTTTTCCAGGTTGCAATTCTGATTCCCAGTACGTCCCCGTCGTCCGGTGGGGGGGCCGCCGCGATGTCCCACAATCCCCATGACCAACGAGGAGTGCGTGAAGAGAGGTCCCTCTCTACGCTCTTTCTCAGACTATTCCTCTCTGCTTTTTTTTTTTTCCCGCTCTAGGGGTCCATCACGGACGAGAAATCGAAAGCCACCCATCACATATACCCTGTTCCTACCTCACTGGATGAAGGTTAGACCCACCTGTCTGATTTTCTTTTCAGCTAGCATTTGAAATATCAGAGGGGTTTGCCTTAAAATATATATGTATCTCTATCTATCTATCTATCTATCTATCTATCTATCTATCTATCTATCTATCTATCTATCTATCTATCGTTATTGGTCTGTCTGTCTGTCTGTCTGTCTCTCTCTCTATCCACTCAAGCTGTCTGTCTGTCTGTCTNTCTCTATCTATCTATCTATCTATCTATCTATCTATCTATCTATCTATCTATCTATCTATCTATCTATCTATCTATCTATCTATCTATCAAGCTATCAAGCTATCAAGCTATCAAGCTATCAAGCTATCTATCAAGCTATCATCTATCAATCTTATTCTGACTGTCTATCTATCTATCTATCTATCTATCTATCTATCTATCTATAGTTATTGGTCTATCTTATTCTATGACTGTCTCTATATCTATCTATCTACTCAAGCTGTCTGTCTGTCTGTCTGTCTGTCTCTATCTATCTATCTATCTATCTATCTATCTATCATCTATCTTATCATATTCTATCTGACTGTCTCTATATCTATCAATCTATCAAGCTATCTATGTATCTATCTATGTATCTATCTATGTATCTATCTATGTATCTATCTATCTATCTATCTATCTATCTATCTATCTATCGTTATTGGTCTATCTATCTTATCTATCTATCTATCCACTCAAGCTATCTATCTGTCTGTCTCTATCATCTATCTATATCTACCTATCTATCTATCTATCTCTATCTATCTATCTATCTATCTATCTATCTCTATCTATCTATCTATCTATCTATCTCTATCTATCTATCTATCTCTATCTATCTCTATCTATCTATCTCTATCTATCTATCTATCTATCTATCTATCTATCTATCTATCTATCTATCTATTGTTATTGGTCTATCTATCTTATCTATCTATCTATCCACTCAAGCTATCTATCTTTCTGTCTGTCTGTCTGTCTGTCTGTCTGTCTGTCTCTATCTATCTATCTATCTATCTATCTATCTATCTATCTATCTATCTATCAAGCTATCAAGCTATCAAGCTATCAAGCTATCTATCAAGCTATCATCTATCAATCTTATTCTGACTGTCTATCTATCTATCTATCTATCTATCTATCTATCTATCTATCTATCGTTATTGGTCTATCTATCTTATTCTATCTGACTATCTAGCTACTCAAGCTATCTATCTATCTGTCTGTCTATCTATCATTTATCTCTCTCTATCTATCTATCTATCTATCTATCATCTATCTATCTCTTTCATCTGTCTAACTATCTTTCATCTCTATATCTATCTACCTACCTATCTATCTATATCTATGTATGTATCTATGTATATGTCTATATCTATCAATCTATATACATATACATATATGCATATAATCTATATCTCTATATCTATCTCTCTATATATTATCCATCACTGGAGGTTTCTAAGGAGAGACTAGACAATCCCTTGTCTGAGATGGTGTCGGTTTTCCTGCTTGAGAAGGGGGCTGGACTAGAAGACCTCCATGGTCCCTTCCAGCTCTGTTCTATTCTATTCCACTCCATTCTATTCTTATTCTATTCTATTCTATTCTATTCTATTCTATTCTATTTACCTCTGGTCGCCACTGGAGGGCAGCATTTCCCCATACACGTTACAAAATCTCCCTCTCCTCCTTTGTGAATCCTTTCTGATCTGGTTTCCCATATGAAGAACAGAAGAACAGAGTCGGAAGAGTCCTTGAAGGTCATCTAGTCCAACCCCCTGCTCAAGCAGGAGACC